AGAATCGAATTCTAAACCGGCGTGGTGATGTTGGATGCTTCTGATCAATAGAACAAGAATAGGACCAAAAAGAAAGACCACCAAAAGTAACGACTACTAAGATAGGCATAGTAATTCGATCTTTTGATCACCCGTTTTTGAAAACCATTTTTGGGGGCTTCCGCCTTATACACTAAAGATTGGATTTCCTGAATCACGAGTCATATATACTGTGTTACGATCATCTCATATTGATAAAAGGTCTAGAGAACAATTTTATATGAAAATAAAGAAAGAATTTCTGGTCATAAAAACATAAAGGCATGAATTGCGCAAGAAGTTCTTTCGGTTAAAACGTTGTGCGGCTCGGAGGACATAAGACTTCTTGGTCAAGCCAAAAATATTGCTGATTGGATGCTCCTACCCCACCATGCCTGACCCTTTATCTTACCTTAAGAAGAAAGAGGAGGTATGAAGCATGGGACAGAATGCAAGAAGTGATACAACAGATAACCTTATTAAGGAGCGGCGGCAACCCTCTTGATTGATCAATGTGAGTGAACTGTGCTTAGATGCTTCGTAAAACCACACCGATCTACGAGAGGAGCTGATAGATGAGTAGGCTTCCCCTTTTGATTCACAGAATGTGATCTGGGACACGATGGGAGTTTGCATGTCTCGATAGGAAAGAGATCACCAGAGTATAGCACAAGATCGCCTTTTCTTGCTGCCATGGGGTCGACCTGTGAACAAGGTAAACCCAATAGGAACAAAAAAGTGGGGGGTACCGCATTGGGTAGAAGACGATCCAAAAAGAGAAGGCTCACCCAGCTGAAGGAAGGAGGTGAGATAGGCAAGAGGTAGCTTGCTTCCAAGCCGGCCCGGCCGCGAGGAATCAAGAGATCTTTGTCGGTCCTGACTTGGATCTCGGGTGACGGAATAAGGCAGCCAGAAGAGACGAGCATTCGCGGTCGAAGTTTGGCTCTAGCTGATAGGCTAGCAGTAAGCTTGGCTACAGCGAAGCGCTTACCAAGCTTGAAGGAAAGGACCTTCGCCACTTGAGTTGTATGCGGGGGAACTCGCACGTGCGGTTCTTAGGGGGGAGAGCTAGTAGGAGCCATCCCATCCCAATAGCATATATGTGAAGCTCAATATGAAATCCTATTTTCTTGCAAGACCCTTTCGGATAAGGGAAAACTCCATATTTGCTTCAAAATAAGATCATTGCGTTGACCCTTTCCTGAACCAGAACCGGGGGAGGATGAGAGGAAAAGGGGATCAAAATGTCCCGTCAATAAAGTGAGGGCTTTCCATTCTTCCTTCCCCCCCCCTCACTCCCCCTTTTTCAATAAATAAGCCCCGCGGGCCCCTCTCTGATAAGGAAGGAAACGAAATAATCTCAATTTTACGACAAATCATGTTCGATGACTGTTCTCCACTAACCACAAGGATATAATGACTCTTTATTTTATCTTCGGTACCATTGTTGGAGTGATGGGCACATGCTTCTAAGAACTGATTCATATGAAATTAGCACGACCCAGCAATCAAATTCTTGGTGGGAATCATCAACTTTGTAATGTTTTAATAACGACTCACGCTTTTTAATGATCTTTTTTATGGTTATGCCGATGATGGTAGGTAGATCTGGTAATTGGTCTGTTCTGATTCTGATAGGTGCGCCTGACATGCCATTTCCACGATTAAATAATATTTCATTCTGGTTTTTGCCTCCAAGTCTCTTGCTCCTATTAAGCTCAACCTTAGTAGAAGCGGGTAGCGGCACTGGGTGGACGGTCTATCTGCCTTAAGTGGTACTACCAGCCATTCTGGAGGAGTAGTTGATTTAGCAATTTCTAGTCTTCATCTATCTGGTGTTTCATCCATTTTAGGTTCTATTAATTTTATAACAACTATCTTCAACATACGTGGACCTAGAATGACTATGCATAGATCACCTCTATTTATGTGGTCCGTTCTAGTGACAGCATTCCCACTTTTATTATCACTTCCGGTACTGGCAGGGACAATTACCATGTTATTAACTGATCGAAACTTTAATACAACCTTTTCTGATCTCGCTGGAGGGGGAGACCCCATATTATACTAGCATCTCTTTTAGTTCTTCGGTCATCCAGTGGTGTATATTCCCATTCTGCATGGATCCAGTATCATAAGTCATATCGTTTCTACTTTTTTGAGAAAACCAATTTTTGGGTATCTAGGCATGGTTTATGCCATGATCAGTATAGGTGTTCTTGGATTTCTTGTTTGGGCTCATCATATGTTTACTGTGGGCTTAGACGTTGATACCCGTGCTTGCTTCACCTCAGCTACCATGATCATAGTTGTCCCTACTGGAATCAAAATATTTAGTTGGATTGCTACCATATGGGGGGGTCGATACATTACAAAATACCCATGTTATTTTCTGTAGGGTTCATATTTTTGTTCACCATAGGAGGACTCACTGGAATAGTTTTGGCTAATTCTGGGCTAGACATTGCTCTACATGATACTTATTATGTGATTGCACATTTTTATTATGTACTTTCTATGTACTTTTGGAGAACTTCCAGCTATCAAGGAGACGAAAAGCTATGTTAAGTAAAAGAAGAAAAGGTTGATGATTGCTACTAAGAACCTAATAGAACTTTTCAAAATGTGGGTTAAAAAATCACTTGTGTAGGTCGGGGTTAAGAATTGGGGGGCCGCGCCCTACCCCGTCAGCCTAAGCCTCGCTATGAGAACTGGCGCTTTCTAACTCTCTATGACGAGTGAAAGCCACTTGACTGTAAGGAGAGGAGCTTCGCCCCTCACTCCACTCATTTTTTAACTTCTAATCAGATCTGGTTGATCTTTCCACGACATAGATCAAAGGGTCGTTCATTAGCCCTACTAGTAAAATACAGGAAAAAGAGGGATGGATTTTGACTTTGCTTTTTTAGGTCTCACGATAGCTTTTGACTTATATGGCGCTTAGGCTTAGCTCATCAAACAAGTGTGCCAAAATGGGGGATGGTATCATATTCTCTTATAAGAGAGGCACGCCTGCTTTTAGCTCGTAGTTTCGCTCTTGATTTTGCCTTACCTTCTATTATACTAGTAAAGGGCGAATGAGGGGCGTGTGCAATAGTTTTCTTACTTTCTCTCGATCGCTTCAATGCCTATAATTTGAGAGATAAGAGGGAAGCTCTCTCTCGAATTCAAAGATGTAACACAAATAATGACTCTCTTCGTCGGGATATCAGCAGGTTAGGCAGCTCTAAGGTTTTTTATATTTGGTGGAAGGCAGGCTGAAACTCTACCCCAATCAAGTGAAACTAAGGGTCTGAAAGAGTTCACGATCTGATCTATGGGGTGTTAACCCTCGGAGGACGGCTAAGAATGTCCATTAAAAGGAGTGATGGGGTCGTTTTTCAAGCACGAATATAACGATCTAAAGGGGTTGTGCAACCTAGATACATGGCCATATCTTTTTGATGAATATGGTATCGAGGTTCGGTTTATTTGGAAAAGAGGTCAATCTTAGGGGAGACCATTCGAATGGTTGAATTGATGACTTCGCTTCGATCTCTTCGACTGAACCTAAAGGAGACTTTGATCATTCAACTTTAGCTTCTGTAGGAGGAGTCATGTCACTTGGAATTTCGGAAAGTGCATCCTCTCTTTCAGATCCTGGCCTTGGTAGAACTTATCTTTGATTGGGATTTCGATTGAAAAGATGTTAGGCCGATTCCTCATGTGCCTAAGAAGCCGAGGCAATCTCGATTGAAGCCAATTCAACATTTTCCTACTCAATCTTCTTTATAGAAATAGCACTCGATCAAAGGGAAGTATAAGAAAGTTCAGTGGTAGAAACCTCTGTAATCGATCGATGGGAACGTCGAAGCTGTCTAGGGCAGGAGAAAACTCATATTAAGCACTGCCCCGGCATCAACTGGTACAAGGAGGAGGCACAATAGCGAAGATCAATCCATCTCAATCTACAAAAAGCATTACATTGGGCATGCAACCCAAAAATATAGAAAGATCACTCGAAGAAAACTCTTTTAGAGCCTGGTACAAGCCAAGCCCCCTCGACTCGGCAACAAGAGTCGGTTATGGAATAGCCATGGCAAAAATTCTATTTAGTTGTTGCTATATCATAGAAATTTTACCCACAAAAATTTCTAGTTGGCTAACATTTTAATTTTGTTGACATAACTTTTTGGGTAACATAATAATTTTAAAATATAAATAAATTGGCAACAATAAATTGTCAGTGTTGCCAAAAGTATTTTCTTGTTGGTAAAATACTTATTTTTCTCAACAATTTGTTTAACTTGTGGACTAAAGAATATTTAGTTCTTTCTCAATTTTCAGCAAAAATAAAAGCGGCAAATTTCCCTCCCTTTTTCCCCCCGAATCCCTCCCCCTTTTTATTTTTATTTTGGCCTTCACCTTCCCCAATTCGTTCAACCCTTCGACTCGTGCTTTGAGTTACGAGGTTCAAATGAGCGACAACCTTATCTTCCAATGTTGCGGCTATGGCTTGAAATTGTAAGCTCCTTCATCTCTAGTTTTAGTTGTTTCTAGTTTAGAGTTTCAATTCCTTGAATGTTTCGATTTAGGTTTTTACTTAGGAGGTCCTAACCAGGGTCGACGCCTTCTCAAAGCATAAACTAAGCATGAAATAAATCATTTTCTTGCAGGTTCTAAATAAAGATAGTGTGGTTCATCCATATCAGTACTTATAGCTCCATTCCAGTTTTAATCAATGGTCTCATGTCTTATTCGGTTGGTATTTCTATTTTACCTTCTTTTTTTAAAAAATAAAATATTACGTTCGTTTCTATTGATTGTAGATTCACAAGCAGATCGTAACTATAATTTATTTATTTATTGGTATATTTGTGCTTTTTGGTATTGGGATAGATGTAGATTTTGGCATCTGCTTTGGCCATATTTTTTGGGTTGTAATGCTCCTAAATAATAGGCTTCTTCTGGCTTTGCGGATGCAAGTCTCTCTTTAGCTGTGTTACTTTGATTCCCACATCTCACTGTAAGTTAGTTTCTGCTTTGTCTATATTCGTTTCTTTAACATCTATGTTTGAAAATTGACTTAATACATTTCAATTGTACTGATTCTATCCTCATTAGTGATGGAAACTCAAGTTTGGAAATAGTTACATTTAGTGATGTGAGTATTACTATCGTTCATCGTGAGGAAGATGTTGTATTTGTATCTCTGGTTTCAATGGACATTTCCTGTTCCAAGGGATTGAATATTTTTTGAGATTAGATGTTATCTGTTCTCTTAGAAAATTAGGTGAAATCTAAATAATTACTGTGATTTCAACTAGGAGCTTAAGAGGATTAGTTGCCTTATTAAAATTAAAACTATAGTGACCTTTCTCTTCCTTAGTTTTATTGCTAAATCTTAATGTCTTGCACTAAAGAATTTTGAGGTTCAAGAAGTAAATCTTTTTTAGAGAAAAGTAATTGTATTATAAAGCTATCACTAAGGAACTGATGTAGTATTTGTTTTTTAGTGAAAGTATTGTAGTAATTACAAGTGAGCAAGACACCAAAAGAAGAAACTCTTTGCAATATTACAGGGATTTCAAGAATAAATCTTTGTGTCGTGCATCCATAAAGCCTTATTTGTACTACCAATTATATTCATTCACTAGTATAAGCTGCTAGTGCCGGTTCGTAGTTCCACTTGTATATTTGTGTATAATTTCTCTTGAATTATCTGAGCTACCAATTATACTTGCCTCCTTTTTTCCCAGGATATCGCAAGTGCGGAGAGAAAACTCTTGCTAATACAGTGAAACATGAGATGGAAAAAAAGAGGTAATTCTCTACTTTAATAGAAACCTTTATTATTTAATATACAATAGGGATTTAAACACATGGAAAGAAATATTCATGTGTTAACCAATAAGAAATGAAACCTTTGATCTGCAAAGAGAAAGTCATACCAAATGCAACAGGTCATAGTACATGTTTCCTTGACCCATAAGTCTAGTTTCTACAAGTCAATCAGTTTGTAGATAATTGTCTTAAATATCTAAGCAATTGATCTACTGATTTTAACTTAGCATAAAGAAAGAAATTATTCTTTACAAATTTCATAAATAGAGAACTTGGTTCTTTCTGTTGCAGCTTGAGTGGATTGTTCTCTAATCACATAGTAATATTAATTAAACATTTCAAATTATGTCCTGTTATTCCCGGTCAATATTGCTGTATTTGTAAATATTAATTCTGCAAAATATAAGTTAACGTAATGAAACAATAATAATAAATTCGAGCCCACTGAATTCACAGTGTTTCCTTAAGGAATTTAATCCCCTCCTAGTACCCAAGGTAATGGATTATTTCCTCCCAGGATAGAACGAATAACACACTGGTGTAGCGGTACTTCAAACCCCAGTGTTTCGGCGAACACAAAGTTCGGTAGCAAATCACACTTACAGTTGCTTTGTTTGAAGTT